GGGGGGGGGGGGGGGGGGGGGGGGGGGGGGGGGGGGGGGGGGGAAGTTAGACGCACTGTATGCACGTAAATCCCTCTCAGGGGATTTACGTGCACAGAGTGCATGCATTGCATCTGCAGTACAGTGCATGGGTAGTCCAGTGCAAATATAGTACTTTGCTTGGGGGAATTGTACGCAGCAGTGGTAGCAAAGAATTCAAGCCATGCGTGCATGCATGCATTCGATGTGTGTATGGCTGTGTACTGTGCATATATGTAGGCATATTATACGCATATGAAATATATATATATATATAGTCATGTGCTTGTGTGGTTTTTTCATAATAGCTTAAAATAGTGGGAAAGGACATTCATCGGCATCACGACCTGATATCGGTGTTGCGGAAGTATCGCGAAGATTCGGACTTCGCCGATTTAATTGACTACACCCAAGTCACGAAACTGCCAGCAGACGATTCATTTTCGGGCTTTCCCATGATGCTCAGGACGGCCTTCGAAGGATTCGCTTTTTGCTTCAGCAAAAACTTGTACATCAGACCTGACAAAAAAAGCGATGGTCACCACTCTAGACGCAGTGAAGGAACCGGTGAGAGCTTGACCCCATAAATATAATGAACATATATGTAGGCATAGGTATATATATATGTATATATATGCGCTGTTTTGTATTTATTTGTGGGAGTTGTAGCGTTGGACTTTCGTATTGCACATGCATTTGTGGTGTGTACGGCTTGTTTCTGTTCAGGAGTTTTGACAATGAACGACTTCTACAACACGTACGTGCGGCAGTACCAACACAACCAATTTCAGTATTGGCTGCTTTTGATGATGGCAAGCGTAATGAAGCGAGTCGTGTCAAGCAGGTACGGGGAAGTGACTCTCGCGCACAGTGCATGCGGATTTATTGTGTATTAATACATAATGTAGAATAGAACGATGGACCAGAACAATGCTGGACACCATAACGCATCATCATATCAGGTTCCTGTCACGAGAGTCGCCGGCCTTTGAGCTGAACGGTACTTGATGCGCAATTATACGGTTGTTTTTTTCTGCGCTGTTTGGGATCTTGCAGGCCGCACGCAGGATTTATGGTGTTGAAGTTTGACTCAGCACAAGCTTTGGGCCTGAACAGGGGGCGCAGCGGTGCGAGCGAGTTGGACAAGGCGGCGATCGACTCCCTGCAGCGGCAGGTGGCTGCCAGCGTTGAGGGGAAGCTGGATCGATCGTTGCAACGGTTTCAGAATCTTGGGTTTGTGCAGGGTCCGCCGACTGCGGCGACCTCCGCCATGCGGCCGACCGTCTCGGTGACGGGATATTTGGAGCGCACGAAGGGGGGTAGCTTTGTAGACCACGGCATATTCGGGATGGACATGGACATAGACACTTTAGAAGAGCTCAAAGAACGCATGCTACCGGGGAACCTCCTTGTAGATGTTTCGCTTGTCGACCCGTGGAGCTCCAGGCCTCTGGCAGATTGGCCCGATCCGCTGCAACGCGACGTCCTCGGGCTGACTTCGTACACCGCGACACAGCTGCTTTGTGCAGAGCTGCAGTGGGATCCGTCGCTGGGCAACCTGGGGCATGTGGAGGTGGTGTACTCGGGGTTTGCTGATGTGTACGACTCTGTTGGGGGGGCGCAGCAGTCAAAGGCGAAGTTCGACCCGGATGTGCAGGTGCTGCTGCTGCGGGACAACCAGAAGTTTGTAGAGGACGGACTAGAAGAAGGCAGCAAAGAGAAGATCACGAACCTCATGGCGCAGGAGCCGCTGCAGTGGGGACAGAAGAGGGTCATTGATGCAGAAAGAATCAAATGGAAAGGCGTCGCCAGGCTGCTAAGGGGCGGTCAGCTGTACAGAAAGAGTGCCTTCGGGACGGGCTTACCTCCCGCGCTTCGCAGGAACGCAGAAGATCTCCTTAAACCCAATGTCGTCCTCATTCACATCGTTATTCAAGGCTTAGGTGATATGACGCCAGATACCTTGGGTTTCGATATGACAGCAAGCGAAATGGCCAGTCGCCTCGTCCGGAGATGCAGAGGTATCTACGACCCGGTCCTGCTTAAATCCGTCACTCCGTTTGTTAAGGTGAGGAAGGGAGAGAAAGAAACGAATGGATAACTAGCCCCTACAACTTGCCCCTTGCGCATCTTCTGCAGCTGGCTGGGTTGCGGGGAGCAGCTATTCGATAGAACCGTTGCGTATAGAAGACGACGAACTTTATTGTTCGCTTCTGTTGTTTTGCCTTTTTTTTCTGTTTAGGAGATGCAGGTCAAGAACGAGCGGCAGTGCGTTGGGGACATGCCGAAGTGGGTGGTGTTGGTGTCGACTCTGGGTGTGGCTCTTTTCTTTATTATTCTGATAACGCTGTTGCTGTACCACGACAAGATAAAACTCCCCTGGTGGATTATGTGCATTTGCAGCAGCCGAGCCCCTTGGGAAGAGTCCTCAGCAGCCTCAAGCGTGTCGAACGGCTTTGGTCCTGAAATACTAGAAAAGCAGAGTAACTCAACGCGTGACATCATTGCGTTTGCCCCGCCGTTGAAAGAAATGACGTCAAGTTTGTCATGAGGTCGCACGCAGATATAAGTGAATGCAAAACACATCGCCTGTATTACCCCCCCACTTGGTGAGCTCTCGTTCTTTTCTATAAAAGCAGTCCTATCCGCTTTGTCGGTCTGTACACTTGTACTGCTAATGGTGCATTCCTGGTGCAAAAGAACAGGTGTAGCTTGCTCGCGCATGCACTCTTCCTCCCACCCCTGTAGCTGCACAGGACTGATGCAGTGCCGCTGGGCAGACTTAGGAAAAGCTTTGTCCCTTTCGCCCTTTTCGGCGATGGCCTCTACAACACCTGTGATTCACAAAACTCACGGTGTTAGCCTGTCTATTGCTTGCGGGCAATAACGGGAATCCTTTTTCTCCGCGCCTATAGGCAAACGACTTTTTTTCAAAACACTAGTACAAAATCGTGCTATATGTGTATTCGTTTGGTGGGAAGGCAACCTAGCTTTCTAGAGTATTGCTAGTCTATTGGCATGCAGATTCAGGTGCAAAATAACCGCCCGCCCCCCGCGACAGGTGAGCTAACAACAGTCCCCGACCTCCCAAAAGACAATAAAAAGCTGCCATGAACGACCGACGACCTGACCTCCAGAGCAACAACCAATGAACACGCAAACACACAATGCCAACACAAAAGCAATCCAAGTACAGCCTCGAACAGAAAAACCAAAACTGTTGGCGCCGAAGCGCCCCAAAAATTTGGTAGAGATGCATTGTAGCGCGGCAGACACACGGCAATCTTTAGTAAAAGGCGAAAGATTGGTACGTGATGTGTCTGCCGCTGCATCGTGATCGTGTTGTTGGGGTTTGGGCCCCACCCGCTGGCGATTGCAACGGCGAATAGGACCTTCACGATATGTTACAAAGTGCTCATTCTTCCTTTTAATTTCTTGATTTTGGCGTTCTGAAAGAGTTCCCGTAAATTCTTCCGATCTTTATACAAGCGTGCACTGTCATACCAACTGTAAGTACATTGCTGCGTTTTAGCTTGAAAACTCCCCGCCAGAGCTTCCCCTTCCTGTGGCGTGTGTGGCTGTGGGAGGGATTTTTTGCTTAAATGCTATCATTTGTTGTAGTAACTCTATGTAAAGTGACTAAATACTACCGTATTTAATGAGAGAGCGTGTACGGGATGCTGATCGCCGGATATTTTGCCCGACAGGGCAACACAGGCTGCAGGAGGCAAAGCGTTCTTGTGTTTACAAGTAACTCAGTTCAGTTCGATATGGTTGTCTATCGATGCTTACATTATTTGCATCATTTACTACGCCAAAATATTTTAGTTACGTGGCTTTTCGTTGCGGAGGTGTCTTACAGTCGGGCTTGGGCGGCTGTTCGAGGCCAGCGCGTTTTGCCCTTCCGGCATTTCTGATTGGTTTCCCTTTTTGCTTTCCTTGAGTAATAAATTACAACTATATTTCCTCAGGTTTTAGCATTTTTGGGGCGGTCCTATCCAACCGGCTAGAGCCGGACTCATCGAGAAACCCCACTCGGCCAGTGAGCGCAGGCACGGGCTCCGGCTGGGAGCGCATTCAAAGGAATGCAGGGAAAGCCGAAGGCTATAACGCCAAATAGAAAATTCCTTTTTAAGGGAACAGAAGGGGATATCACCTAGGTGTGCTCATACATAAGGGCACAGGACACCTGGGTGTGCTCATGCATCAGAAGAGCACTTGAGATGAGACAGAGGTGAGCTATTACAAGAGTTGTAAGGAGGGAACGTGAATTCGCAAGGAACGGAAATTAGACAGTGAGGGGGAAAACGCTTTTTTTCCTCTCCGTGCTGCAGCCTTTGGCGCGCCTACCTGCAGCGACACGGCGAGCACTAAGCAGTGAACTCCCGAGGCTTAAAAAAGCGTGCATTGCGCGTTGATGCTGCGTTGCTAGCTTGAATGCTCTTCTTGGAAGGGGAAAAGGGTGCAAGCACTACCTATCTGCTGTGCTATGCGCTGTGGGGTTGTAACGAAGTGCTTCTACTGGTTACATCTCCTTCCCAACCCGTGTCTCGCTGTCTCTGGCTGTCAAGTGCCTTCACCTTGTTAGCGGTTTCAACGGGAAAAAAAGAACGGTCGGAGGCTGCGATGTCACGGCATCAAAAGCGCAGGTATCACCTACAGCATTCGGTGTGCGAATTATTATTAATGAGCCTACAACGTACATTGCCCATGCTGTGCGACTTTACGAACAAAACATTTTAAGCAAACATGGACGCAAGTCACATGGCATCGGGAGAGGTGGCATTTCTTTTCTTGCACAGAAGCGCCATCTCCGTCGCAGTTTGACGTCTAGAGTTGCCTCCCCATGTGCCCCAAAAGAATTCAAAGTGTTCGTGACTAAAACAGAAGTCCTGTCATTCCACAAACTAATTGTTTAGGATTCCAACTGAACTGAAGGTGAACTGGGAGAGTCAAGAGCCAGCACGACGACCTCTTTGACATTTTTCGACAGGGACGGTTCTGCTAGAATGCGTCGCAACTGCTGCTCAATCTTATGCTGCCGCTGCTCATCGTAGTGCCTCCAAGTGAGAAATATCTTCGCCCCCCGCGATGCAGCCACGGGGTTAATGCGATCGACCTGTAGCAAGTGCATTGAACAGCCACTGGGACGTTCATAGTACATGTATTGCAAGTGCCGCCAATTGATGAGAAACGCATTGAAAGAGGCCTCAAGAAGCAACAATCTCCACAACAAACAGCAATTCTGAAACACTGCTCCGTTCTCCCCGTCTGATGCATGCTTCCGTGAAGATTGAGCTGCTGTTGCATCGTCTTTGATGTATTCACTGCAATCACTGCTGTGGGTGGGTGTGAAGCACACCAAACAGACGTGGATGCGTACCTGGAGGACGACATCAGCGAGGAGCTCGTAGCCTTTTCCATCGTCTCTGTGAAAGTGGACATGATTGGAGGCAGCAAATACAAACACCAAAGACCGCAGCCTATTAGGGTTCTTCAGCGAAAAAGCGGGATGCTGCAGCAAAGCGGCAACGCGTTCCACTTGGTCTGGCAGGTCTGAGAGCGCCTGAGCTTTGAACCACTTGTCCACAACAAGAGGGTCTCCTGCACACGAAGGAGAAAAGACAGCATTCGGGCAAGGAACGGCTGCGAACATGTGTTGTGCATACAGCGAAAAGTACTGGGAGTAGACACTTGTTTCCTTCTGGTGGTGAGCAAAGAACCAAGCCTAGGCATTTGTTCTTTTCACCGTGTGTGTGTGTGTGTGTGTGTGTGTGTGTGTGTGTGCATGTTTCGTCAGGGCGAACCTGCTGCGTCGTCGTAGAAGTGCGAGAAGGCGTGTTCACGTTGTTCAGTAGGCATGTTACTGAGGGCGATGAGGCCCGCATATTTATCTGTCATGCATTTTGCCTCTGTAAAGTGCATGAAGGCCCTTTCAACTGCCTCTTCATCACGCGCCGCCGAGAGGAAGTGCAACAAAGCGTTCCTCAGCTTTCTTCTGCCGGCTTCCCCCTCAGTCACCTTTTCTTCCTGACCCGCGGGGAGGGTGAGCTGTCTGTACAACTCAAGCATTTCAGACTTCAGAGCAGTGGCTAAGTCTGCCTTCACTGTTCTTATGGCCTTATGGAGCGCTTCGGGGTCTATGGGTCTCATCTCCGCAGCTAGAACATTCCAGTCAGGAAGCTGCAGAATGAGGGCCTGCAATGCGAGAAAAACAAAGTACAGACGTCTTCATGGAAAACCAACGACACAACAACATGCACAACCACGTTACAGCGGAACTATCTGCAGCGTTAGCCATCTCATCCTCAGAGTGGAAAAGGATGTAAATGCGTGAACTGAACAAAAGTTGTCACCCAATCCGCGTTGTTGTAGGTATGAGTCTGCTGTTTGCACGCATTTCTGGGTATTGAACAAAAACATCAAACGCGCAGCCATACCCTTGTCCCGCCTCCGCTTTGCGGGGTCTCAGACCAGAAGAGCGGCCTTTCTGATACGGAGGGATTGCACAGGGAGGAATTACATGGCCGTCGGTTCCCTTATCGGGACAGAAAAGGAAGTAGAGACAGAAGAATGCACTTACTTTCAGTGCGCTGTCGGTCGCCTGGTCCGTTAGGGCTGTTCTCAGTGCCTCAACGTATTCGTCGGGAAGTCCAGCGAAATGTTGAACGTTTTTATCTGCGGCGATCTTCTCACAGCGAGAAATAACGATTGGAGCTGCCAGCGCCCTGGAGGAGAACCACTTGGTCACCGGGTCCGTGTCGTAGGCCAGAAGAAACGCGTTTTCTTCAGCTGTACGACGGTTTATTAAACGCACAGGAGCGGAGAATCCCCGCAGTATGGATGGCACGCAGTCTTCGTCTACACCCCTGACCCGAAACGTCTGCTCCTCTTCTGTCATCTCCAAGACCTGCAAAGAGAAGAGAGCTCAACGACGGCAGCAGCAGCAGAGACAACGCAAGCATAGCAATGGGAAATGTCAAACCACAGGGAGGTATGTGCGCACTGGAAGAGAGAGCAGATGCAGCAGCTGTACCAAACAAGGGGTGTTGAAGCAAAAGGGCCGGGAAAAGCAGAATAAAAAGGAGGAAACAATATAGATGCGAATGCACAGCAAGGAGCAATGAAGGAAAATAGCAGGAGTTACCATCTAAAGGCATTACAACCAAGTTGTCTTTACACAAGGGCTAGTTTGCAGAACGTCCGTAGAGGCACGCAAACGGACAACAACGAGAATATCGAGAGGGCGTTTAAAGCGTGGAGGGAAGAAAGCAAAATGACCAGTGTTGCGTGCATGCACTTGGGGTTCGGCATGGCCCCCCGAAATTCGGATCTTCGCCTCTTCACAAGATCACAATGATGGGGATATTACTACAAGAAAGACAAGCCACTATATTTTATTTAGATGAGTGTACATGCATTCGTATTGGCGTAGGCGCAAGAGTGTGTATAATATGTTGTACTAGCTGCATGAAAAATGCAGGTGCACATCTTGCGCATTTGTAGCGGCGATGAGAACATAAATATAATCGTATTCACTCAAGCTCTCTATTACCATGGAGGGTTGCAGAAGGTCTCTGTGGGAGTCCTTCCCGATGAGCCCGATCTTGATAGGGATGACTTGCGGCAGCTTGGTCTCTTGGCCAGGAGTCGGTGGGGTATGTTGTCTGAAACTTATCTCGAATGTATGGGCATCTTCTTTGTACTCAGACCGCAGCACTTCCAGACGCGGGGTGCCCGCCTTCAACACAACAAGCAACGAACACTTGACAAAAAAGTTGGCAACTAAGAAAAACGGCATAGAATCTTGAGCGAAGATTGTACTTACGAAACGTGACGTCTATATGCCACTCGCTAAAACTAAAGCACAAGCAAACAGTGGGTGCGGAGTTAGCCCCTGGAAAAGGGCAGCAAAGCTAGAGAGACATTAAAAATACAAATAGTGTAGCGGAGTTTTGCAGCGTCGCCACTTCTCCATCACAGCAACAAAGTGAACCTAAAATAATGCAGTTTCACTGCTTGTCTCTACCTAAATTAAGCGAAGGGGAAATTGCATTTGAAGGCGCGTCCTACTCCCGTCCTCCAGCTGATGACCAACATTCGTATGTCCTTTAGTTATAACTCAACACTAAGTCCTATTCGCAGTTTGCATTTCATACCTGGCTGTACCAGCGGTCCATTTGGTCCAGGTTGATTCTATTCGCATCCGCCATGGCAGCCCGAAAGTCGTCGCAAGTCGCTGCCGTATTATCGTGGCGTTCAAAGTACATATCCATTCCCTTGCGGAACCCGGAGGCGCCGAGTAAAGTGTGGTATCTGCGCCGACGGACGAGAACAAACAGAACATGGGCCAGCAATATGGAAGAAAGCAGAAAATCCAGCACAAGGGTACCAAAGGGGCAGTCCTGTGATGATGAAGGAAAGGTAGGACACAGGACTAAAACTGCTCCAGATGGGTTCAGTTGCCGTCCCTGCGACAACAGTTGTTTCAAGAACTCGACAGATCCCTCAGAGGATCTGATCCCGGAAGGCAGGTTATTTTGGCTTGCAGGGATTACACTCAGAAGGAAAAATGCTAAAAAGTGCAGAATAGCCTCACATGCGCACGACCTCTGCGCCCTTGTCGTAGACTGTGGCTGTGTAGAAATTGTCCATAGCCATGTAGCTCTCAGGGCGGATCGGATGTGCCATGGGGCCGTCGTCTTCTGCAAATTGCCGTGAAATCAAATCGGCGACTTCCTTAATACGCTGTACTCCCGCCGACATAACAGTGCCCATAAACAGCTGCTCCCGAAACACTGTCAGGCCTTCCTTCAGTGTCAACTGAAACCAATCACTAATGCCAAAAACCCGGGACACAGCAAGAGGAAGAACAGGAAGACAAAAACAATACAAGACATTCAGATAGTGTACGTAATGACTAACGCAAACATCCATACGCCGGCAAATACGCGCTCTGCCATGAAGCCTGTCGCCATTACTGTTGCTGCTTTTGCAATATGTGCATAGCAGATATTTTTATTTCTGCGTCAAATGCGCTGAGCAGGAACTAAAGAAAACGCCGATGCAACTATGCATGCAGAGATGAAAGAAGTGGGTAGGTACCGGACTGTCACGCGGTTGCCTGTCCAGTTGTGGAAGTACTCGTGCCCAACGACGGCCAGGACACGTTCAAAATCATCGTCTGAAACAGCAAAACGTCGCAGTGAGCAACTAAGCTTGCACTAAGAGTCGTAAACCCTAAATATGAAGAGCCATGAGCCCTAAAAATCTCACAAAACGAAGTACACACACGAGTGAAGCGTCGCTGTTTTTCGGGGTGTGGAAAGCCGCGAGGCTCCTAACTCACTAAAACAGTTTGTAGTTTCACTGCAACAATGAGAACACTGACTGCAGAAGCAGAAGGGGCCCAGCAGCAACAGCAGCAGCATCTAGCAACATTAGTGGAATGCGCGCTTACCTGTGCTGGTTTGCATGTCTGCGAGTAGGAGTGTGCAGTTAAATATATTGAGGCCTTTGTTTTCCATAGCCCCGGCATTGAAGTCGGAAACGCATGCAACATTGAAGATGTCCAGATCGTATTCTCTCCCGAAATGTTCTTCCTCCCACTTCATGCTCACCTTCACGCTGTGCATTGCCCACTCCAACTTGTGCAGCTGCGCTGGTTCGCTATACACCGCCAGCGCAACTTCGTTGCCGCTCTGCAGCGAAGGAAACGAGTACACACTAAAGAATCAGGAAATAAAAAGGAATAGGAATGCAAGTATGAACCACTCACGAGTCCGCATGTACTGTGTGTACACACACACACACACACACACACACACACACACACACACACACACACACACACACACACA